CTTGGGTAACTCTTAGCTCATTCCTCTAACACTGGGAATCATCTTTGTTTCTCTCCTTTGAACTTCTTCTAGGGCCTGGCAGCCCCCGTATGGCTCGGTGGGGAGAATTGTGTGCAGTACTCAGGTCTGGCCTGATCAGAACACTATACAGCTTGACTATGACTTCTGGGGCTATGAACTCAACTGATTTAGCAATATACCCCAGCATCCTATTTGTCTTGTTTATTGGTGCCTCATGCTGTTTTGACAAGGTGACCGATGAGTCAACTAACACCCTTAGATCTCTTTCAGCTGTTTCCTTGGCAAGTTCCCTTCCCACATCCAGGTGTGCCTCCTTACTTCCTATATGCATTATCTTGCAATAACTGGTATTAAATATCTCTAGATATTCCTAAAAAACCTACAAACTGATATGTATACAAGTAATTCCATAAGTTTCCCTTCCCTATTTCAGTCAGACATTTCAGTTCCAGTGTGCACATTTGTCCGTAAATTAAAATAGGTAATGCAATTTCATTTTAAATTACAGAGACTTCAAAACACATTTTAACAACAGTTTTAAATACCACAATTTTGATCCAATTAAATTAAAGGAAAGTTAGCTTAATTTTTCACTTGTTATCAGCGATAATGTCTCCTGGTGATAAATTGATAGACTCACTAACCATCAGTTGGATTACAAATGACATGTTGCATAACATTCACATCAGTGGCATTAATTACAATTTAAAATGTAATATGAAATCAGTTGCATTGTTTGACTACAAAACACACTTTTTATAGTGTATCCTATGAAGTGCTTTGAGACATCCTCTCGACATGAAAGGGGCTGCACCAAATGTGAGAATTATCATTATTAATTGTTCAGTGTTGTTAAAAGAATAGAAACCTTTTCACAAACCAGTTAAGCAATGCTAAATCACAGATGAGGCTGTAGATGGCGGCAGAGACAAATGTTGGATCTGGATGACAATTTGAAGTTGATCAGTACACTGCCCAGGACAGATAGACATTGAAAGCAATGGTGATTTCTCAAAGGTGGCGAAACTTGATAGAAACATGAATCACCACCCTTTTGATGTAGTCATTAACCTTGACTACATCTAACAGCTTGGTACACAGTGTCAACAGCAACAGTAACAGATAAACGTGCACCAAGAGACTAGCCGAGTCTCTGTTGTTAACAGCTGTTCAAAGTCTGCATTCTGACTGATTTGATAGGGTTGCAGGATGAGTGTGAATGGCTCCTTATAATGTATTCCACAGCACGACGTCCCTGAGATGAAGCTCTGTTGTACGGAGCTTCTTGCATGCAATTCATTATCATTTTAATTTGAGTGTTTCAACGTCTTGAGGAAAATACAAATACATTGTTAGATCTAATGACCTTGTAGGGGATGACAAACTATCATGAATGCGACTTGTGCTGCTGCTGGTACCCCTGAAGTCAAAAATATTCAAGATTATTAGCTGGTGAGATAAATATGTCAGAGGAATACTTTGGGAAGTTGAATGGGTGTTACAATGGGCAGCTCCTGTCTGAAACTGTTACTATACTCCTCAACCATGCCTGAAATAAAGGAAACAAAATAATGATACGAGTCAATCACATTATCTAATGGAAGAAACAAAATCTAAGCACTGCAGCATGACATAAACAATAAATCAGTAAATCAGTGAATTCAGTCCTTGTCCCATTGACTTTACTGTCCACAAAATGATATAAAAAGGGAAGATATTGTGCTTGCTGCTAAATGAATGACTTTGGTGCTGTTTGCCAGAATGGCACATGGCACGTCCCCCTCCCCCATACCATTAAGACCATAAACTGTCACTGCTAGTTATATCCCAGAGTATCTCATGCATTATGCATTAGTCATAAAAGCTGCTCATACATCAATAATCATCAGTGTTAATACACTTTCCAGTTTCTTTTTCTTGTGATAATTTAAGACAGAGCATGGGCACATGCCGTTATTTCTATTCATCATTAAATCTAAGTGTTTGGGCAACAAAATATCGATTGATAAGGTAACATTGCAAGAATATTAATATTTAAAAGTTTGTGAAGCTTAACTTAACCATTGCTTTGTAAATTGTATTCCGAGAACATCTTGACATTTTAAAAAGCAAGAATATATCTGTTGGTGTCATAGATGTCAGCCTGGCTCAGTTGATAGCATTCCTGTCGTTGAGTCAAAAGCTTGTGGATTCAAGCCCCACGTTTGAACTTTGAGTTTGCAATTTAGACTGACACTTCAATGTGATGCTGGGATTCTGTCCTCTGGATGAGACATTAAAGCCAAGGTCCGTCTACCTGATTAGGTGGACATTAAAGATCCCATGGCATTACTCGAAAAGAGAAGGGCATTTCACTTGTGTCCTGACCAACAACCCCCCAGATAAAATTGGTCAGTCACTTCATGCTTGTTTGTGGGACACTGCTGTGTGCATATTAACTGCTGTGTTTGCCCACTTAATATACATTCATTGCACTTTACAGTAAATCCTGTGAAGTGCTTTGAAATGTTTCAAAGTATATGTATAAACGTTTTATTATTTACACTTATTTTTAACCTGGAATATTGTTAAAGGTGCATCGAGCATTGTGTAGTTGGTATTGTGCTGTACAACAACAACAACAAAATTACATTTATAGAGCGCCTTTAAGAGGTATCGGGGTCTGAGCATGGGGGAGGGCTGGTGTAGGGGTGAGGGAAGGCAGAGAGGTGGGAGGGAGACCAAAGGCACGGTCGAAGAGAAGGGTCTTGAGACCGGTCTTGAAGGAGGCAAGGGAGGAAGTGAGGCGAAGGGACTGTGGGATGGAGTTCCAGAGTGTGGGGGCAGAGAGGCTGAAGCCCGGCCACCGATGGTAGGGCGGGTCGGGCGGGAGACATGGAGCAGGCTGGAGCCCGCTGAACGGAGGGAGCGGGCAGGTTGGTAAGGAGTCAGCAGGTTAGAGAGATAGGAGGGGGCAAGGCCATGGATGGCCTTAAAGGTGAGGACGAGGATCTTGAACTCAATCCTCTGGTGGATGGGGAGCCAGTGGAGTAGGGCGAGGGTGGGAGTGATGGGGTCACAGAGCCTGGTGTATGAAAGTACATGAGTTGCAGAGTTTTGGATGATCTGCAGCTTGTGAAGGGAAGAGTTGCGAAGGCCGATGAAGAGGGAGTTCCCGTAATCGAGCCTTGATGTGACGAATGGGTGAGGGTTTTGGCAGCCTGAGGGGTGAGGCAGTGGCGGAGTCTGGCAATGTTGCGGAGGTGGTGGTAGGCAGTGCCGGTCATGGTGCGGATGTGGGTGAGAAAGGACAGTTCAGGGTCAAACAAGATACCCAGATTCCTGACTGGCTTAGTAAGGTTGAGTGTGCAGCCATGAAGGCTGATGCTGCCAGCGCCTGTATTGATAAAAGTCTAAGCCAAATTAATAGCCTAATGAACATCACACATTTGCTTATTTTGTAAATGTGTTCAACGTTCCATCTGAAATTGGTAATGGGAGAGAAAACTCGCTCCAAGGTTCAGAGAGTGCATTCACAATAAAATATGTGGGTCTATATTTCAGTGAAATGTGCTATTAAATAGTGAATACTTTCCCTTAATGATTTCAGATAATATTTATGCATGCAGTTAACCAGCTGAAAAAAAAATCCTAATTAACAAGATTTGCTACATTGGAGAAAAGCAAAGCATTTTGCTTGATATTGTATTAAATTGAATGGCAATGAAATGCAGTCTGAAAATCCCATTCAGATTACTGATGCAATGAACCTCCTATGATCAGGCTATAAATGGAATTACTTTTAACTGAAACACTGTAGACAGAGTTTCATTTCTTGTGTATAGAACAATAGGCTAATGGCTTTAAACGTGACTGGATTGTTGTCAAATCCAGTCACATTGAGTTTGCAGTACAACTCCAACTGCAACAATTTTCAAGAGTTCGGAGTACTTAACAATAGTGGAGCTTGATGCCGATCCAGAGAAAGAGAGAGGTGACAATAAGCACGGTCAAAAAGCAAGGTATTCAGATCGATCACGGCCAAGCTTTAAAGGGCTAACAAAAGGGCTTTTAAAGGCTTTTTGTTAGCCCTTAAAAGTCTCTCCCTCCCAACATGCTCTAGTTCTGACGAAGGGTTGTGGACCTGAAACATTGACTCACTTTCCTTTCCCCATAGATGCTGCCTCACCTGCTGAGTGTTCCCAGCGACTTATGTTTTTGTTTCCAGCATCTTCAGCATTTTGTTTTTTCCAGATTAATTGGACCTTGTTGCGCACAAAATGGCTGTTATATTAATCTACAGAATCAATCACTACATTTGAAAATATTTACATCAAAGTGCTTAATAAGATAAAAATGCATGCTGTGTCTTGCAAGCTATGTTTTTTCTTATTAGAGTAAATTTGTGCTCATTAAGGTGAGGGATGTCAAACTTGGGAAATTAAGCGTTTTCTACCTATTTTTAAACCCAGTGTCAGTGTCAAGCATTCTTAGATCATGCGAAACTTAGTTTGTATGAAAATTTTCTGGCTCCATAAGAAAAATACACAGACTGGTTTAGAATAAGCACTCAGTCACTTATTAAGCTGTTCATATTTAATTTGTTTATAGGGGTATGATACATGACACAAATACTTTTTCACCCACAAAATAAACAGTCAATCCACTTTACAGTATATCTGTGAAGTGCTTTGAGATGTCTCAACAATGTGATAAAGCGTAATATCAAATACAAGGATTATTATTATTTTGTAAGAATAGTTCGACAAATTTTACTGGTTACACTAAACAATTTCATTTTAATATATTTGACTACATAACATTTTTCATTGATTAAATGAATGTCACCACAGTTTTTTCTGTTACAATAGTTTAACTGTGACTTACCTATCTAGTATATCACTATATTAGTGAATGCTGGACTAACCTACCTTCTTTCATGTCATTTCAGTGTTTAAGTATAACTAAGAATATCTGTCAGATAATGTTCTCATTAATCTTCAATTTTTTTNACATAAGATTTCAATGAATGAGAAGGGGGTAAATTTATAACCTGCTCCTTTGTAAAACTTGTTCTGAAATTCCACCCTGAAAAAAANGAACATTTGGTATAAATCCACTAAAGGAAAATGACATGCAAAACACATTGAACAGCTGAGTGCATAGTGAATACGGTATTAAAGGGTAACGAGAGTACTTTGTATTCAAAATACTCCCACTAGAAATAGAAAGAATAAACACAATTATAACACAGCCATTTCCTGACAGTGAGGAATCCTAGTTTAACACAATACTCAATCCTTTTGCTGCATGAGGTTATTTCCATGATGTGCTGTAGAGATAAATTGGAGTAGTTCCCTTCATCTTAGAGCGGTTGGACAGGATGGACAGTTCTGGAGCTGTATGTCGCAGAAACGTTCAGCTCAACCAGTTTGCGTTAGAATGAGCTTCCCTGAACAGAGTGGAATGTAATACTCTGCTTGTTATGTAAGAATGTATAGAACTGAAAAGACCATTGCAGAGTAAACAATCCTGCGCTAATCTATTTCTTATAGCCTTCAATTGATATCTTCAAATAGTTATTTAATTTCATCTTAAATTTGCTGACACAATCTGCCTCTACTCCCTATCTGGATAGACTATTCTATATGTATTCACCACTCTCGGCATAGTAATTAAATCTAAAGATCTGTTCACTTTTCCATTTCTGAAGTTGAGCCCATGGCGCTTTCCAAATTTTTGACACATTTTAACATATTGATTATTGGAGTTCAGTATAATTGTATCCTTTATGACCTTGAGTACACATAGGTCATTTAATTTCAGATCTGTGCATATCCTCTGTTAAACTGATGGTGTACTTTGTACAACTGTACCAAAGGGACAGGTCATTCATTTAAATGAGAAGGAATGATTTGGATCAGCCTGGAGCTCCTTATACCTGTGGTATCTGATGTTTGATACACTAATGAAAGAATCCGTGTATTCAGATTATAACCATGTATTAGAATGGAATCATCCGTTTATCTGGTCCTCTACCTCAAATGACGTTGGAAATAATGATTAACTAAAAGAAAAGATATTAAGGTAGGAAAATTTGCAGTCATCTGCAAAATGTCATCTCTAGCATTACCTACAAGTTGGGACTGCAATTGCTGTAGGTCATTCAATCTGTGCAAAGTCCTGTAACTGTATTTTAATGTGAGGGCAGCTCATGAACGAGGAGAATCCATCAATGCCATCAAAGTGTTGCTTGGGCATGCTGTGCCTCTTGTGGTTTGGAGCCTGGTCTGCATCTCGCTCTTCCTTAAGAGCATTTGTCATCTCCTCAACATCATTGCACCCTGTCAACTTTGTGCAGAAACATTAAATTCCCCTCAGGTGACTGACAGAAGCCTGTGGTGTGAAAATGAATTGATGCTGTCAGTGTTGCAATGACTGGTAATGTTAGGGTCGGAGATGAAATTGTTGTAGTGTTCACTGAACATGTGGTAAATGTCAGGGAGGGCATTTCTAATTAGTCAGAACTGCTGTTTACTCAAGCCCCAAAGTTTCCTTCTAACATGTATCCTTTCTTCTTCACAAAAAAGCAGCTCTGTGTTCTCTCTAATGCACCGAAGCAAAGACTTCATGATAAACATTTAATAATAATAATCCTTTTATTTGATATAGCACCTTATCGAGTCATGAGACATCTCAAAGTGCTTCACAGAATACACTACAAAGTGAATTGACTGTGTATTTTGTGAGCAAAACACAGCAGCCAATTGTGCACCGCAGTGTCCCAGAAACAGTTTCTTTTCTTTTGAACTCACAAATCTAGCTAAAGGAGCAAATGTCTGGGTAGTGAGTTTAAGGCTATTTTAGATATAACATGAAGTTCAAGGTTATCAGATCAGACAGTACTTGTCTACCTTATTTAAGTCTGATCCACATGGTGTTCCAAACAATATGCAGTATTTCATTGACGCTCATCACATCTAATGGGCTAATGTGGAGCAGATGTAATTATTGGAACTGGTGGGCTAGCAGCCTTGGTAACATGTTGCACCCAGTTATTAATTTGGAGAAACACGACAAATTAAATAATCCTGGCAACAATATCTATGTAGTCAGCATGAAAGTGGAAGAAATTTACGTTTGGGAATCCTGTCAGTTACAGATCATTTTAAGTAATTCATGTACGGAGATGGTATTTTAAGGAGAGGAGTTTTCTTTACATTGAAAACCATTATGCACATTAAAATATGTTCATTTAATTTTCACCATTTTTACTTATATTTTCTCTTCTTTCCCTTCATTTTCCTCAGCCTCAATTATAATTTCAATTGTTGTTTATGGGATGTTGCTGGCACCACATTTGTCTGTATAACAAAATTCACTTCTTTTCTAGCCAATCATATTTTGTAAAGCATTTTGAAATGTTTGTTTTCATGTGAAAAGCCCTTTATTATTATTAGTGATAAAAATAAAATATATTTGTCAAATAAAGTATTCATGCACATATACATTTATGAATTGGAAAAAAACTGCCTGTTTTGACTCTAAGCCTTTCATTAAGGCTAGGGGCCTGAAATAATTAATCGCCTTAAAACCACTTTCTTAAAAGCTTTTGCAGAATTTTGAGAAATGCTTAATTCGGCCTAAATTTGGAAGCTTGTTGGTCTGCAGATCTTACCAGCTTCTCAGTTAAAATTCAATTTAATAATTCCTCAAATTCAGCATGAACTTCTACTTAATAATAATCCTTACATTTGATATAGCTTATTAAATATTACATTTGATATAGATATTTTATATATTTATAGGATAATGGTCTTAAGGCTTTTGAGCCTCAGGGTTTATTTACATTTAATTTGTAAGATGCTTTCTTTTGCAACCTGGGACTCTTGACACCCAGATTACTTATTATTACTTAAGAATCCCCAGTTCTAACTATTGGAAACTCATGGCAGTGTGATTACTCACAGCTTGCCAATTCTGGAACATGCGTTTTCTCCCCCACCACCCCCTCCCGCCCATCACGCATACATACACACAGCAGAGCAATAGAGCACAGGCGAGGTTGCTAGAATCCAAGGCATTAGGGTCGCAAATGTACAAGGCACTGCTGGGGTAGGGGATCTAACAAGAACCCTCCTTTCCATTAGGGTGTTGACTTGAAGGGTTAGCAGGAGCCTCTCCTCTCACCTCAATCTTCATGGTTTTGTCCTTTAGTGGTTCAAATCCTACCTCTCATACCGTCTCTACTTCATCGCCACAAACAGCTTCTCCTCTAGCCCCCGCACCATCTTGTGCGGCGTTCCTCAGGGCTCTATCCGTGGTTCCCTCCTCTTCAATATATATTTGCTCCCTCTCGGTAACATCATCTACAGACATGGGGTCAACTTCCACATGTATGCGGATGACCAACCCAACTCTATCTCACTGCCTCCACCTTGGACTCCAGGACTTCAGAATGTCTGTCAGACATCAAGACCTGAATGAGAGCTAACTTTCTACAGTTGAATGTCAACAAGACCGAGGCTCTCCTGATTGGCTCCCATCAGTGCCTCCACAGCTCAGGCATCACCATCCACGGATGCACACTCCACCTCACTGAGCCAGTCTGGAACCTTGGCATCTTGTTTGACCCTCAACTATCCTTTCTACACCACATCCGTGCCATAACTCGTCCTGCCTTCCCCCGCCTCCGCAACATTGTCCGGCACTGCCACTGCCTCAACCCTCAGGCCACCAAAACCCTCATCCTTCATTACATCTAGGCTTGACTACACCAACTCGCTGCTTATTGGCCTTTCCAACCCTTCGATCCACAAGCTGCAGATAATCCAGAACTCTGCAACGTATGTCCTCTCCCACACCAGGCTCTGAGACCCCATCACTGCCATCCTCACCTGGCTCCACTGGCTCCTCATCCCCAGAGGACAGAGTTCAAAATCGTTATCCTCACCTTCAAGGCCCTCCACGGCCTTGCTCCTTCCTACCTCTGTAACTTGCTGACGCCATATCAACCTGTCCACTCCCTCTGCTCAGCAGGCTCTGGGCTGCTCCAAGTCCCCCACCCGGCCCGCTACACCATCAGCGGCTGGGCCTTCAGCTTCTCTGCCCCCCCCTATGGAAATCCATCCCACATTCCCTTCACCCTGTTCCCTCACTTGCCTCCTTCAAGGCGCATTTTAAAACTCTCCTCTTCGACTGAGCCTTCAGCCACCTTCCTATCCTCCCTGCCCTCCATCCTCCCCGGTCCTGACCCCCAGTTCGGGTCCAAATTCCTGACTGTCCAGCGCCTTGGGACGTCCTCCCGACGTGAAAGGCACTATCCAAATATAATTTTCTCTTATATTATATTATACCCCAGTGACATATACTCCTCCAAAGCATCAATAGTGCCAAGGTGTACTGTGGATCTACCAGCTTATGTGCTGGTGCACCAATGTCACTGTAGACAGTACCCTCAGCTGTGTGTTATCTTTGTCTGATAGGTCACCATGGATTAATAGGAATGGATTAGTAAATGCAATAAACAGTATATGTCAATAAAATCAGCTATTTGGTGATAATTAATCATATCAGTAAATATGAATCGAAATACTGTACTAATAAGAAGCTACAATGACAAGTTAACTTTGTTGTGCCGAATCACATGGTTTCCTTGGTCACCTGTCCCTGTGCACTCACCAGTGTAGGCGTAGGGCATGTAGAAATGCAGAGAGACCTTCCATGATCAGTAGAATTGCCACAGTGAGAGTAGCAAAAACAGCAAAAATGATAGCGAGCCCAATTGAACCTAGACCATGATTTGTAGTGAAGCCATTATGTAGGATCATGTGCCACAACACCTCAGAAAGTTCTAGAAAAATAAACGTCCATTAGCATTGGCTCAGAATAGCAGATAAGAAGGTAAAGTGCCATGTAATTTCCCGAGGCATGGTATCTAGTTTCCAGATCAGCAAGGGAGGCATGTGTAACAGTTACCATGCTTGTTAACACTACTGATAGCAAACAGTGGGAGAGTCAGCATTGGTCAAGCTCCACATCTACCTCTAGGAGAGGCTGGATCAGTTTGCACTGAGCCACTTGAAATTGGATTGTCAGCTTTGCAATACCTTATCTCATTGCCAAGAGGAATGTACACATGTAAAAGGGCCATGACAGAGCAGTTTAGCCCAATCTCACAGCTCAAAATAACCTTACATTTGAGCTAGCGCCTGTCACGTCAGAGTGACTTCTCAAAGCACTTCACAGAATCCACTGCAAAATGTAATCACTGTGTACTTTGGAGGTGATTGACTATATTTTGTATGTAACTATTAACAGTGAAGGTTCAGCAGTTATGGTAATTATAATCCTTGCCTTTGATTTAGATTATGCAACCATTAATAGCAAACAGGACTTACTTACATTAACACTACAGGATGTAATTATTATCAGTAAAACACTACAGTAAAAATGCTAGTGTATAACCATTATCAGTAAAAAGAACTCTAGTCTATAACTATTATCAGTAGAAATGCTACAGTAAAAGTACTACAGTATGTAACTAGAAGCTTTCTGTATCAATATTCACCTGCATGAGCCAGACTGAGGGCCCATAAGCGAAGGTATGAGGCAGTATTAGACACACAGCCCAGACAGTACTCAATAGTATGGATAGACTGTTGGACAAAGGTATCGCCAAAGCTGAATTGCTGAATTAAATGCAAGAAAAACAATTTATTACGTAAACCTGATCTATGAATCACTTTAATACACCAATAAAGTAACACGGAAGCTTTACAGAATTTTATAGCTGGTCCCTGATTTCTGTGAATATACAGAGGCTAATGTTATTATTACACATCCACGTCTAGAGCAGCTAGAATGTTCAGAGTAGGTTACGTGGAAATAACAATTTTCAGCACAGCAGAAGAGGCCATTTGGCTCATTGTGTCTGTGTCACTTACTATTGCATATGACATGCTGTGCAATTCTAGAAGACGTTGAAAGTAGTGTTTCATGTGAAAAGTGGAGAGGGGAGACACTCGTGGATGATTTAAAAGCTGAGCTTCCTACAGCTAGATTCTGCCTGGTGCTTAAATAAAGGTACTGTAGATCTATAACAGCACCTCACTTTATCTTTCCAAACTTGCGTTACCTTTTCTTCCTCCCAGTGACCTGAGCTTCCTAATCCATTAATATTTCGCCCACTCTGCTCAGACTGTAGAACTGAAAATTCTGAGTTGCCACACAGGGGTATCTTGATCGCAGGCCCATTCAACTTCTGAACAACATGGGTTTAAATTTTAAAACAGATTAACGTAATAACCTTAATAAACCTCTGACAATACAAACAGCAACATTTCTTGGTCATGTAGTGCGGCTCTCTAACATATCTACTATTCTATCTATATCTACTATTTAATTGTGCTACTGAGGTACTGACAATCCATTTGCCAATTAATTTCAGTCTAGAATAGCTTTGCTTCAATAATTACAGAACACATATCTTTCTTTACTGAACTGGTTATGAGGAAAGAAGTAACTGGGTGCTAAAGGTAGCAAACAATTTGACTCCCATGTATCATAATATTACAATGTAATTAGGAGGGTGCCAGTTCATACACATGTCCTTACCACACGCTGTGCTCTTTGGTGGTGACTGTACAGCAGATAGGGTTTAATGAGCAGCATCCAAGGAACTGTCAGCAGGGCAATAATAACTAAAAAGGTCTGAAGACTCCTCTAGAGGAAAAGAGAAACTTACAATATTTCTGAAATCTACAAAATTATTTTTACACGACAAAATAATATACAAACATATGGTCAACAATCTCAACTTAAATGTGTACCATCTTTATTTCCTTATGAATAACAATGAAAAAAGTCCTTCTGCCCATTTGATCTCTCCCTGAATACCTAATCTTCCTATTACAGAATCACGCTAGTTCTTAAAGAATTCTAGTAACCAGCTGCCGTCCACCACACATCTTCGTATCCAATTCCAGATTACTCCCTGTGTAAAGAATTACTGTGCGGTACCTATCCTACAGTTACTCTTATAATCCTTATAACTCATATAACCCTGAATCTATATACTCTTGTCCCAATGGATTAATGGAAGGTGCTAATATGTAGACTTCAGGTAAGGAGAGGAGTGAACTTGGTTGCAAATCCCCTTCCAACTGCAGTCCAATAGCCTGTTGGAAATCACCATGTTTTAGAGCCCAATGTAAGATGTTACTTTAGTAGTAATATTGAACCCTTTACAGTAAGTTTAATAACTTGTTAGCGTTATCAGAACATTACAAAAGTGCTACTGTATTTCTCGTGCTAAAGTCTAGACAATAAAATTGTTAATAATTATTGGTATCGTTAAAACATACTGTATTATTTTAGTTCACAATAATAAATCTGTATAGTGGAACAACACAATTGGCATTTATCTAGTGCTCTTCGTGCATTATAGTATCTTGGAATGCTAAAATGTTTATAAGAAGTCTAAGATAAGAAAAGACTATTTGGCACATTACAGTTCATCTCTCTTGCTAGTAAAGGGCAAATTCAGGACAGACATGGGAAGTATTTGTTTACCCAGAGGGTGATTAACAATTGGAACAGGTTACCACGAAGAATGTTTGAGGTCAGGATGCCAGGCTCATTTAAAAACAGTTAGATGCTATAAAGGGAAAATGGTAGGATGTGTATTCAGTAAAAATGAGATCAATTTGGCTGAAGGGCTTTCTTCATCCAAACATCTCTTGTGATCTTCTGAATTACTGATATTATTATAGTTACTGGTGATACTGGTAAAACGTTTAATTTTATAAAGTACTCACCTGCCTACAATAGAAACGTGTATTTTCTGGCCCACTGTAGTTAAACATCAACATATTGATGAAGTGCACAAGGATGCTGGGAGCAGTCTCAGACTCTGACACTGTGAACCTGCACCACTTGTAGATGATCAAGAAGACCAAGTAGCCAAACAGAGCAGTCAAGAAAATTATCTCTGGGATAAACTGCAGAACAATATTCCTAAGTTCCTTAAAGTAACTGAAAATAAACAGACAAGTGTTTAAGTCATTTTATTTAAAAAGGCCAATCATCCATATTTTAACATTATCATAAGAACAAAAAGACAAATCTTTAAAGCTGATGGAACCCAAGTTTAAAGCATTACTTAACCAATCCCTATTAAAGAAATTTAAATAATAAATTATTGATGCATTTATTGTACACACATATCTGCATAGAAGCTCAGAAAGCAATTGTTTTGCCAACTCTGACTTCAAAGTACAGTAGAGAGATTATTTTCTGCAGTAATTGGGACTGGCCACATTGTAGATAAGCAAATAGTACAGATAATTGGTCAAAATAAACACAGTCCAGGTCATCTTGCAAAATGCTAATTATAATAATAATATAATGGGGTTAGTTTTGAAGCTGATTTTCTATCAATTCTTTTAAGAACCACAGAAAGACAGTTTCAAAGAAACAACAACAACAAGATTACATTTGTATAACGCCTTTCAAGTCGGGAGGACATCCCAAGGCGCTGGACCGTGTACAGCATTTCAAGTAAGATTGAATTCAGCAATTGGTAAATTCTGTATGTCCTGAAATGTCAAGAAAATAAGAGTAAATGTAGATCCAGGTAAGATTTCTCCCTCAGTTTAGCTGTGGTGGAGGGAGAGTAAGGTTAGATTGTACATTGTCTGAGGAGGGAATGGAAGGGTCAAATGGCCTTTTCTCATTCCCTACTTTCTTATGTTTTGTGTACTAAAAACCAAACAAAGCAGCAAGCCTTGTTAATGGCCTGGATTGTGTTCAAATGATGTGTCCATTAAATGAACTTTTTTTAAAAAAAATCAATTTACAAAGTAATATATTATGAACTCATGATAATTGCACGTGCACTAAATTGCTAAGTATTATGTTTTTTTGTGGGAGAAACTCTGCAAGTTCCAGAGATGATAAGAGCTCAACTTAATTTTCAGCACTGCATGGAGCTTCTCATCAACTCACACTATGTTATAATTGCTGTAAATCCTGAATAAAATATAAAACCTCCAATTAAAGTACATTTTTTAATATTATTAATATTAAAGCGTAGCACACTTTCAGAAAATCAAACAAAGGTCACCCCTTTAATCAAAAAGCTGCTGTCCCTCTTTGACCACTCTCAGAGTGGGCTGGGTTACTGCTGATTCTCATGACCCTGAGTACTATTCCTGGAATTTCCCAGCCACTCCATGTCCATGCAGCCATGGCACCAGCGACCGAATGACAAACTCAGTTTTAGTTGCTGGAAACCTACTGTCTCACTAGGAGACACAAGGAACCCATTCAGAACTGAGACAGAATTTTGTTACTCATAGGATCTAAGATGTGTGGAACAATTTACCAGGAAATAATAATAATAATCCTTGCAGTTGATATAGCGCTTTTCACATCTTCGCGATGTCTCAATACGCTTCACAGAATACGCTGTAAAGTGAATTGACTGTATATTTGTGGGCGAAAGACCACTGAAGTAGATTGGATAAAGAAACAGTCATTTTGCATTTCTGTAGACAGAGATCGGAGGATATGTTTGAAGGCTGGTAGGTATGGATCGGGTTGGCACCTGGCTTGCCATCTTTCTTAAGCATTTTTCCCATTTGATAGTCAGATTACACTTTGGATTAGAGCTCTTTTTTAAAATAAAGAACTTCTCTCCCAGGGTCCACTGAAGACTTTACACTGACGGGGATGGAATTCAAGCAGGGGAGAGGAGGGAATAAGTGCTGTTGAAGAGGCAGGTTTTAAGACAGGACATGAAAACCGATTGAGAGAGGATGAGATGGAGGTGAAGAGAAAGGGAGTTCCAGAAATTAGGGGCACTGAATCAGAAAGACTAGCCTTCTGCTGGTGCAAATAGGGTGGGGTCATGGAGCAAGCAAGCCCGAGTTAGCTAGGCAGAATAACACTGTTTGTCTCCTGTTGCTAAAGTGCTGTCTTCAGTAGTGAGAATAGGAAACTGGAGAGGTTTTCAATAGTTTTGAAATTTCTCTGATATCATGCTCAATATCGTATCTGACCCTAATTTACAGCAACTCTTTATTGTTAGAAAACATCAATAATCAGTTCAATATTTCACAGTAGAAAAGTCTAAGATCTGCAATGCTGTCTGGCAATAATATTTATAAAACAAATTGTTTTTTACAACCCTGAATTTTTATTGAATGCAATTTCCACTTTTATGTTCAGAGTTGTTTTTTAATCGACCTATAAAATGTGATTTGACTGCCAAAATCACAGGGGTTTGGTTGAACCACAACAAATAGAATAACAGCAACAAATTACATTTGTATAGCACCTTAGACACTGGGAGGACATCATGGTTAAAGATGATCTTTTGCCCCATCTGATCTTGTGCTTCTCTACCATCCTCTCATCACAGCATCAAGCTGCTTTGTAAATGTCCAGTATCCTGACCACAACTACTCTTCCTGTTCCAGGTGTTAATTATCCTCTGAGTAAAGAATATTTTCCTGATATCTGTCCAGAAATTGCCCTTTACAACTCTGAATCTATGTCCTCTTGTTCTACAGTCTTGGTGCATCCCAAAGTATTGTTCAGGGTTTATTGTTCCAACTCCATTCAAATTGTTATAGCTGTCAAAGAGGCCCCCACTGAATCATCTTCTCTCACGATCGAGTTGGTTCAAAATCCCAAATTAGGCTCATATTGAAGCTCACCATCCTTCTGGTGGGATGGTAATATCGGAGTAAGTTGCTAATGAGGATCGAGATATATCAAATGAAACAATAGACTTCATAAAGTACGTAAGAACATCATAATTTGCTCGGCAAAAGAAGACCAAGGCCATCCAGTTCGCCTTCCACCAACCTGACATGTGGTGTCCAAAACTATATATTGTATACCCAAATATTATTTCCAACAGAAATCTATCTAATTTGTTCTTGAATTAAACAACACTTTATAAATATTAATACGAATTGAAGGAAGAGGTAAACTGTCTGAAAAGGGGAAACAGCAAATGAATGACCAGGAGAAACAATTAAAGAGAAGGCAGCAGAAAGGAGAGTAGACAAAGGCAGGAAAAGGCATCTTTGTCTGCATGGTAGGTAGAGGCAGAGGCATATGGCAATGTGGAGAAAAACAAGCAGAGAGCAGGGTAAAGAAACAAAGGGAGCATGAGAGTAGTCAGCAAAAGTGAATGAAAGCACAGAAATAATGAAGCCCAGGGCATGTTCCATGGTTAAATAAAATGAGGGTTTTGCTCCATGTTCAATGGTAATCTCACTGTTAATAATTTGGAGACTCCAGATTATTGTGATCTATGCTGTGATGAATACTGAACGTTTGGCTGTAATTAAGTAAGAATGAGTGTAAACCAATAAATGGATACAATAATGATCCTTTCGTTTGATATTTAACCTGATCACGTCTTCAAAATGTATCTAAGTGTTTTACCAGCTGTACTGTAATGTGTAATGATTGTGTATTTGTAGCCGAATTAAGGTTTTATCTAAGATTAGAATACAATAGTTAATCCCCTACTAAGTGTGGAAAAGCCAAAGCCTTAGTGGAAACAGTGATTCGGTGACTCAGGTTATGAATTTGTGCTCAGCACATGGAGTATAGGTTTTGAATGCAAGACCTGGATAATGCTAAGCATTAGTAGAGTGACTGAAAACCTGCTTTACAAACACTAGGTGGAAATCAACCATCACAAGTGTGAGGCAACCTCTCAGTTGGTGAGACCGTCAGCATTCTTTTGTTGTAAATTTTATACCCATCAAAAAGAGAGAAGTCATTGCTGGGGCTTGAAACATTTCCGCATTTTGCCACCTAATATTTGTATAGAGCATTCCCATGTCATTCCTGTATGTTACAATACAGGTAAAATTGTCTCTCCTAGTCCTCAGCAATATGCCTTCAACCCTAAGTATAGAACAGCAATCCCCACACTACATCTATTTCCCACACTAGCCATCCTTGAGACCTTTCAGAGTGAGCTTCACTATTTAGTTTACAAAGTACTAAATTTAGGTAGATTTGTTCTGCAGGATGATGGATATCTTCATTTGACACAGAAAGCTGTACAAACCACAACTTCATAGAGGTTCTGGGCTGGACTCAAACCTGGATTCCACAGTTGAACGATCACTGTGCTAACCTTGTGTACTATCCATTCTCCTAATAAATAATCAGAACAGATACTTATACAGATGATCATCTCGAACAATGTTCATTCTCACATTAAATTATTAAATATTTTAGGAGGATGATTTGATCTACAATTCATATTTAATAAGATGTTGTGTACCAATTTGGAACATTCAGAGCTGAATCATGTTATCAGCTGTGGGTCAATTTTCATAACTGATATACATTTACATGTGAGTTTGAATTGCAAAGATTAAGCCCAGAAATGTTACCGCAGAAACTTAGACGCTTACAGACTTTGATTTTTGTGCATGAGAACATCGATGAATTATTGAACAAATTGGAGGACAATATGATCATCTTTCCAGCATTCTACCTTCTTTGGCTGGTGCTGTGCACTCACATGTAATTGAATAAGCTCAGCGTGACTCCAAACATCATGTGAATGACACCCATGATGACGGACATCTTCATTTTGTAGGAGTTCAGGAATGTTAGCTTGTTTACTGCAATGTTCCAAATCTGAGCATAAAATAGAGAATGTCAGTAGATCCAGGTCATAAGGAATATGTTGATTGTTAATACAGAGAACAATAGTTTACTAGCACTTACTGGATCAATGCCAAAGGGATAGGGTTTTCCTGAAAACACACCAGGTACTGCAGGATCTAACTGCAGTGTTGCTGACTTGTGTAATATATGGTTACTGAGAACAAATGGTAGAGATCAATGTTATCAGATTGAAAACCTGGCATTATGACTGTTAAAAAAAAGCATTAGCTGAGCCAAGTAATATAACTTGTGTGTATACAGAAGTTGCCCAATACAGAACTGCACTTATATTTAATTTTAGGAAAGCTTAATAAGGAATCCTTTGAAAATATTTGTAATAACACTATATATACACATATAATACAATAATATATATTTCCAACAACTTTTGAATAAATTCACATTTTGTGTTTCTAGGATATGTTAAAGAACACTTAAAGAACTTAGCGGAAAGCTTCCCTGATGGTTCAGCATATCATTCAGTGAGTAATTCTTACACCCAAGAAGCTACAGTGAAGCTCCATTATAAGGAGGTGGTTGGGGTATAAGATTTCAAGTGCTATAATAGGTCTGTGATAGCTGTTTTCACTTTGCATGTGCACAGCTGTCCAGTACACCTCCCACACACTGGCCAGTTCTCATGCTAAAAAATAGTGAACTTCCAGGTTATCACGTCACTGCTGATGCCATTTCCTGTGCACTGCTTATTTGCAAAGCAAGAAGTAATGTCTGCAGTGATCTGATGAGCTAAAAATTCATATGATTTTTGGTGCACAGGAAGCTAAATGGCCAACTTCTAGGACATTACGTTGCCACCCAAGACAGTTCCTAATAAAAATAATAATCCTTGCATTTGATATAGTGCCTTATCAAATCTTCGAGACGTCTCAAAGTGTTTCACAGAATATACTGTAAAGTGAATTGACTGTATATTTTGTGGATGAAACGGCACACTGCAACTGCATTTGTAACTGAATCAGGCTACAAAGAGATGTATTGTAACAGAGTCACAGGTTGAATGCCCAGATTATTATTATAACAGGTTTAGTGCCCAGATTCTGCAGGATTTCCTGATCAAATTAAGGAGCCCTAAAATTGGACTCAACACTCCAGGTTAGAGAATAAAATAATCAACACTCTCTATACCTGATCACTATCCAATATAGGCTACAAAACTGAACAGTGCGCACAGATGATGGGAGAGGATAGCATTGAGCTTGACTGTGGTCAAAAAGCTTGCTGAGACTCACTATCAAGGATCACATATGAATAGTGGCCATTATTCATATGTGATAAGACATCAGCAAATATCTGTGGTACCGGACCAGCAAAAGGGAAAAGAAGAGGCCAAAGACGTTCAGAAGAAGAAGGGAGGGGAGAAAATTACTGAGGGGAAAAAAAGGCTTAATAAAAATACTGTGTAAAAGTATTTTAAGAGCGTAGGGCATGTCACATAGGAAAGCAAACTCACTTCCAAGGACCATTTGGCTGGAACATAGCTGTGACATTCCAGGCTGATCCAAAAAGATTGAAAGCTTTGGAGAAGCAGTCATTGTATACGAGGCCAGTGTAGATCGAAAAGAGTCCCATCAGCAGGATAATGAAGCGTCCGTGTAACAAAGTACTTAATATCTAAATAAATAAAAGATTGTTTCAACCCAACCATCATAATACCAGGGTCAAATTTCAAAGATAAATTGCACTCAGTAATAGATTTTTTACATATATAAACCAGATTTGTTTCAAATAATATAAAATATCTCTTCAAACCAATATCACAATCAATAAACCACTTACAATGACTAGAATTAATATAGACTGACAAAAGCGGTTTAACACTATTTGAAACACCAGGCATTTAGAAATGCTTTCTCTCCACATCATAGTGTGGCTGTTGGTTATTCTGCAATACCATACTTTTTTGCCTTTAACAAATTGTCAGGTTAAGGTACAGTAGCTTACCTCATTGTCCATCTTTTTATTACTGTGTAGGTTTTTGTACAGGACCATCCCCAGAGACAACACGGTCATGATTAGCCCATGACCACAATCACCAAACATGACGGCAAAAACAAAGGGGAACGTGACAATGCTATAAGGGGCTTCACAGTGGAAAGAAAAAAAACAGCTTCAGTGCATGAAAAGTTTTAATCATCATAATATTCAAAGGTGTATCGACGTATGTTTGATGACTGCAACACAGTTCCCTTTCCAGGTAAGACCACTTTACCTGTTAGCACTTTGGCTCATAGAGTTCAGGCCTATGCCTTCAAGCCCTATTGATGAGCCAGACAGGCCTGTCAACCACCAACAATCTTTGGATTACTCAGACCATATCAAACAGTTCATGACAGCACAGAACAGGACAAAAGAATATGGGATTATATTGTCAAATCAATTGAATTCTGATCCTCAAAAGCTATACGAAGCTATTTAGTTTCTGGTCAAACTCCACCAAGAACCAAAGATGTTTATAGCACAGAAAAAGTCTATTCGGCCATCATGTCTGTGCTGGCTCTTTTAACAGCAATCCTTTCAATCCCATTTACTTGCCCTTTCAACAGACTCTGCTGAGGCCCTAGATGCAGTACGGAGGTGAGCAATGGGAATGATCCCCAGTATTAGAGGAATGAACTATAAGCAACAATTAGCCAAGCTAACACTTTTCAGTCTTGAAAACAGATAATAATGATAAAAAAATCTTGGTATAGCATTGTTCATGTCAAGAGGATGTCCCAAAGTGCTTCACAGGATATATTATAAAGTGGTGTGACTGTGTATTTTGTGGGCAAAATGTGGCAGCCAATTTACGCACTGCAAATGTCCCATAAATGGGCATGGAGTGAATGATCAACTTTATTTGGGCCATTGAAACAAAAACAGAGAGAGCTGGAAAAACTCAGCAGGTCAGGCAGCATCTATGAAGAAAGGAAAGTGAGTCAACGTTTCGGGGCCACGACCCTTCATCAGAACTCAATTGATTTGAAAATATAGCCCCGTATTCTTTTGTCCCGTTCTGACGAAGGGTCGTGGACCTGAAACGTTGACTCACTTTCCTTTCTCCATAGATGCTGCCTGACCTGCTGAGTGTTCCCAGCTCTCTCTGTTTTTATTTCAGATTCCAGCATCTGCAATATTTTGTGTTTTGTTCTTATTTGGGCCATTGTTGGCCAGGACACCAGGAGAAACTCCCTTTTCTTTTCATATAGTGCCATGGAATCTTTAACATCTACCTGAACAGGCAGACAGGACTATAGTTTAAAGTCTCACCTGGAGGACGGCGCCTCCAAAAACGCAGCAATATATTAGCGTGACAGTTTAGACTATGTGAGATCCAAGTCCCGCCGTGAGGCTTGAACCTAAATCTTCTAACTTAGAGGTGAGTATGCTACCAACTGAGCCAAGCTGACACACAATATAAAAATGGTTTACACAACACAATTACGAGATCCAATTGTCCAGTTAGAATGACCAGTGGATCACCCAGAACTTGATGTTAGACAACACCGGCATTCATTCCAAGTGGCCATAACCTCAAGTGTCCAGAGTACCTGAGACCTGAAGCTGGTTGATGCACCTGGATTGAGTTAACTAAATTTTCTGGCACACCACAAGATGGCATACCTCATACAGTGAAACATTCCGTCCTGGTAGAAGAAACACTAACTATCTTGCTCCACTGCACCTATAGCTGTCTGGAACAAAATGAGAAACTGCATTGCAGTTGTGCAGAAAAAAAANTTGTGTTTAACTCACAAATGTGAGCTTTCAACTAACTTATGAAGTGACCCTTTATTAAAAAAAGGCAGAAACCACTGAAAATGTTGTCTTCATTGAGACAAAGTTACAGAAATATTAAAGGATAAAACGTTGTCGTTCAGATGAGATATGAAACCAAACTCCAGTTTGCCTGTTTGGATGGTTGTTAAAGAACCCATGGAACTGCTTGAAAAGAAAAGTGTCTCCTGGCCAACAATCCTCCAGATGAAACTGGTCATTCGCTTCATGACTGTTTGTAGAACATTGCAGCATGCACACTGGCTGCTGCATTCATCTACAAGGTACAGTCAGTAAAATCCTGTGAAGCGCTTTGTGATGTTTTGACAATGTAACACGATGCTCTATCAAATGCAAGGACTATGATTATAGTACATAATTAATTAGTCAGGGTTTACATTAGAAGATTAGAACACTAATAGCTTCTGGACCATCCAATGTTTTTTTTTAATGATTCAGACTGACTGATTTCAAATGATGTACCCATTAACACTGTGGTTTAATTTGCAATATTTATTCTCAGAAATGTATAATTAACAGCTAGGACCTCTTATGTGCCAAAGGATGCACATTTAATGTTTTAGAAATATGATAATTGCACATTGCTTTTTAAGAAATCTGTCAAGAAATACCACAAGTTAGAACTAGTCAGTTTACAAGTGTACAGCAAACCATTATGATGCACTGACTCACTAGTCGCTAGCGGAAAAAGAACTTAGCCAAAGAACATTAACTGCTGCTAAAATAAAACCAGACAAGTCTAGAAATGGACAGCAGATCAATAAGCTTCTGAAAGAGAAAGTAACTTAAAGTTAGGCTGTGCCTCTTCTTAAGATGCTGTTTTATCTTTTATGTGTTTCCACCATATTCTGTTTTCAGATTTTGTCATTCACAGTAATTCTTTTTTATATCTGCCACTTGATTGTTGTGATAGAGAGTTTGTTAAGCACTTGTATTATAGTACTGGCATTGAAAGCCACTTTGCCTTTGGGCTTGGAACTTTGGAGGCACCAATATCCAGGCTAGCAAGTTACAGTAGTTGTCTCTCTCTGTTACTGCCATATGTGCTGACTGCCAAAGATATTTACTGTTGCTAAATATGTCTGGAAATGGACAGTAGGTCAATATGCACCTGAAAGAGAACAGTAACAATGGTAGCATGTGACTCTTCACAAGATTGGTATGGAAGAAATAGGCCCTTCTCATCCTCCAGAACACCCACCCTAACATCATGCCATTACAGGAGCAAGCTGTTTTTTAAATAAGTCCAGTGTCATATCCTCAACTACCCTTCCTGGTACCCTGTTCCATTCATTATTTCTAATAAGAATATATAATAATCCTTTAGCGTTGAGATGGCCCAAAGCGCTTCACAGGATTTTACTGTGAAGTGTAATCTCTGTTTGCAACTCCGGCAATCTTTTTGCACACGCAATCTAGTACAAACATCAGGATCTCAGTTTAATGTTTCGTCCCAAGGATCGCACCTACCCATAATGCAGCGTATTCCAGCATTGTATTGGAGTATTGGTCTAGATTCGGAATTCAAAGATTGAATGAGGTGCTTGAACCCACAGTTTCTGACTCAGGGTATTTTCAAGATTGAAGAGCCCTAGCTGTGTTATCATTGCTCATATTCATTCCTCTAACATTGGGGATCATCCTCATTGCTCTGCTCTGTGCTGCATCTAGGTCCGAGCAGCTCAATTCTTCAGATGTTTTTTGACCTCTAGTGATTTCTATCACATTCTTGTTTTATTTATTTCTTCTTTGATGATAAAACTTTTCCGCAGCTCCCAAAAAGACATTGGGTCTCACAAGATGGAAATGACTGCATGATCCAGAGCCTTTGATTCTAGTGTACTCACAGTGTAAATGGCAGGATCCCAGCATCAGCAGCCTCAAGCTATTTGAGAATTCATTGTATTTAAAGCAGGTTCTGAAATATCCTGCAATACAACAGGGCATGAGGACTCTCCAAACTCAGCTCCAATCACTTGTCATGGCTTTTTCATCACGTGCCTAAAGAATCTAATAGACCACTGAAATGATACAATCTGCGCCGTTGAGTTGAGGTCAGAGAGGTTGGGTGGGGCAAGACTGTGGAGGGGTTTGAAAGTGAGAATGAAGATCTTGAATTTGATCCACTGGAGGAGCCGGTGGAGCCGATCAAGGATGGGGGTGCTAGGCTTGTGGAGCCTGGCGTGGGAGAGAACATGGGCTGCAGAATTCTGATAGTGACACAGTAACTAGTGTATAGCTGTATAGGTATAATCCTTAGCATTAAGACAGGTACAGACGCGATCAATACTACTGAAACTGATAACAGGTACTGATATAAGTATTGATAATGCCACTTGCAACTGACACTCACATTGACAATAGTGCTGATAATAACATAAACACCAGCAATGAAACAGATGCAAGTACACATGCTACAGACACATAGGACACATACTAACATAGGAACTAGAACTTACCCATATACTGATATCGACATCAATACTGATAACGACATTGACAGAAATGCTGATATTGATAGTTACATTGACATAACATAACTAGTGATATCCATACCTATACTGTCACTGACATAGTGTTGGGGGTGAATTAGCAATAAATATTGGGGTTATCACATTGAAAACGTTATAAAATGTACTAATTTACATCCTTTGACAGTACTCTTAGCTGCTAGATCAGGGAATGTAATGGCCAGAAGATGTTCTGCATTACCAATTAATTATTTGGCTTCTCTCAGGCATATTCATGCATTTTACAAATAACACGTGAAACTGACACACTTCACCAGCTATTTATAAGTGTGAAGTTATTTTAGAAACAAAATAATCAAAGGAAAAAATGTGACAGAGAAAGGCTGAAACCCACGCATTCAGCTATCAGCTATCACTAAATTACCATTTGCTAATCTGAAGTACAAGCCTTCGAACACCCTATTTTACGTGGTTCTTCAATTCTGTTTCACTCTGTTATTTAATTACAAATCCAGCAATTGATGGATTCCTTTCAGTCACGTACAATTTTTCTAATGTGAGTTTTTGTGACTGGAGGTTCTATAAAGGATTGCTAGTTTAAATTGAATGTGTTCTATCAGGATTTATAGTGGAACTGATTTTGCATAGCAGCTTGTTAATGCATCTCCATAGTATAAGAAACAAAAGCAAACACTATTATTTCTTTCCATTCACTGTTTCCTACCAGACAGCAATTCAGGCCTTATTCAATTTGTCAGCAGACTTCTATGATTACTTGGGGACTGTCAGAAAATGCTTGACATTGTGGCAAAGTTAATTCTATAAAACAGTGT